CAATTTTTTTTTTTTTTTTTCGTTCCTTTCTTTCCTCCTCCCTTTCTTCAGCTTCTGCAAACCCTAACATCTCAACCAATCTCTAACATCTCAAGTAATCTATTCATCTCAACTAATCTATTTATCTCAACCAATTTCTACCCTTATTGGGTTCTTCAACATCATCATCAAATAACAAAACCCACAAAAAAACAAAAGCGCCTAGGTTCAATCAAACTCAACAGGCACCTTTTCTTTCTCCTTCCTCCTCCTTACCTTGCCTTCTTCATCAATCAATTCTTCATTTTCTTCAATCAATTTTTCATCATCATTAAACAACAAAACTCAAAAAAAAAAAAGAATTTTTTTTTAAAATTTTTTGCCATTGGGGAAAGAGAAGGGGAAGGGGAAAGAAAAAGGGAAAGAGAAGGGGAAGGGGAAAGAAAAAGGGAAAGAGAAGGAAAAAGAAAAAAAAAAAGAGGAATTTTTTAAGTTTTATTTTTCATATTAATATTTTTTTATATTATTATTTTTTCAATGTCATCACTTTTTTTTGTCATATTGTCTTCCATTTGTATTAATATTTGACATGTCATCTTGTAGCCATGAAGTAACATGCCACGTCACGAGATTTTTAACAAAAGACCAAATCAGGGTTAAAATAGTAAATAGTAAGGACCGAATTATGAATTTTTTAAGTTTAGGGACCAAATCAGCAGTCCATGCAATAGTTTAAGGACCAAATGGGGTTTTAACCTTTTAATAATTCTCCTTTACAATAGAAACCATAATTATTGACATGTTTTAATAGTTTGCATAGACTATTGTGTACTGTTTTATTGGATGAAATTACTTTATTTTAATATTGATTCGACTTTTCTGTTTTTTTTTTGCTAAAATTAATAGAAATTTTGTATGGTAAATTATTCTGAAATATTTTACAAAATTTATAGATTATTTAAAAAGAAAACTAATTTTGTAAACTAAAATAAAATTAGGTTAATAGTTAATAAACCAATCATTGAATTAACCCAATTCTAATTTGGGGAAGAAGAATTATGTTTCTTTTGGATTGTTATACCGTCTAATTCATTAGTTTACTCTTTCAAATACATAGAGTTAAACACCATTTGCATTATTAAGTCTTGAAAGTAACATTTTAAGGCTTTGGGAACAAAACATGGTCTCCCACATGTAAGCATGTTTATTATGATTAGTCAATTAAGGAAAATCATGTTTGCAGGGAGCTTAAAGCCTTAAACCACTAGATTACTTTGTTTGAACCGAGTATTAAACCAAAATTAATAAATTGTTTATGTGAAACACGATAGGATATCGCATGGTCCATGGAGATGAGACTAGCTAAGGTTAAAAACTCTAAGATGGCTTACAAGATCTTATATGTATGTAAAGAAGTGTTTTCTTTTTGGAAGAGGGTGCTTCTACAAGCACAAAATTTGAATTAATCTATGCTTGAGCATTGAGTTATACTTTTTCAGGCTCAATCATACTAGGTAAATAGCATAGTGTTAATTGCCTTTGCTTATTGTGTACACAAGTCTAGATTGAGTCAAAAGCCACAAAATTGCATTAGCATTCTCAATAGATTGCCAACTAAGGAGAATGAAATGAAGTTTTTGAGGAGATGCGTTGCTTCTAAAGATGAAGCTACTTCAAAATCTATGCAATTCTCCCAAAACCCAACAATGTGCATACCTTGGAGACCCAACAAAAACCTTCGTCCAAAAATTCCATTCATTAAAAATCTATACAAAATAGATCTCTCAAAGCCCCAAAATCACACATTGGAGGAACAGTCTTGACCTTAGCAAAACTTCCCCCCCCCCCCTTTTTTTTTTTCTTTTTATGTTCATTATAAACCCTTTAAATGTGCAAGCATAACACAAATCTCTAAACCTACATTAACAACACAAATAAGCTAGCCTCAAAGTAAATTCCTATGTCAGCTAGACTAATTCAAAAATGTAAAAACAAATTAACCTTTTAGGAAATCTTTCCATTGCACATATAGATGGGAAATCCATAAAAAGGTGAAGCAAAACATAATACATTCTCTTTATCTTTTAAAATTTCTTCTTTATCCCTTTTTTTCTTTTTGATTGTGGAAAGAAACAAGTTAAGGATAACGAAACAAGTTGAATCAAGATAAGTCAAATTAAATCATTATAGGGTTATAATTCATAGGTTAAATGAGTTTATGAGGTAAGAAGTCTTACCCATGATAAATTGTTGGATTATCTCAACTTTTACATTCTTTAATTACACCAAAAAAATTCTTTCATTCAACAAGGATATCACATTAGCAGTATTCTATTATATTAGTAGGCAAGAATATTATTGACGTAATATCATGTTGTATGTAAAAATTTCTCCTTACATCATGACAAAAAA